CACGGGCATGCGTTCTCAAACAAGAGGTGTTGTTAAAACGTTGTAACTGCACGGTCGAGATACACGACCAAAAAGCTAAAGGATGCTAAATGTGTCCTCTCTTTTTACGACTGTTTTTTACGACTCTTCAACAGAGACTACAATTTCCTCATGTTCACGAATGTGAGTCGAATATCAAAGCAAAAGAAATCGCTGCTCAGTGCTATCTGTTTCTGTTGCTGCAATCGGCAAGCGAAAAGTAAAAGCGACTTGCTCTCACAATTTAAGTATACCTTGTTTGCAGCATAATTTACGATGTACGCTTCTTTCCAAACCGTACGAACGTTACGGTTTGTGACATGTTCGTCATAATAAAACTTAGCAAAGTAGATTTAAAAAAGTATAATATTAAACGAGTAAAAAGAAATCAGTGATTTTTTTAGATATTAAAAATTTTTATCAAATAATGCTCTTAAAAATGAAATTTGGGGCATTCTGTATATACAATTTGTCAAAAATAACATCCCATTCGCCGATCGAAACATTTCCATCTTGTAGGGCTCTAGAGATATTGAATACCTATTGGCGATACCGAACATCCATAATCGGGAATATATGCCAACGAATGCATCGCGCAAATTGCCATAGGCGGGTATCTGACTAAAAGCACTTTGTCCTCCATCGGCAAATGCCGCGAATATCTACTTTGTCCTACGAAACGCGCGTCTGATCCATTATTCAAAATGGAGAACTGACGCCGCCGCCGGGCTAACTGGCGAACGAAGAGCCGTTTGAAGAGGCTCAAAAATATTAGTCTGCTGCTATTTTCCTCGAGACTTCCGCTACTATATATACAACCATATTTGCATATTGCCTATATAATTTCAAAATCTTTCAAGAGCAAACAGAAGCATAAAACCTATGCAAAGATCACGATAACAGTACAAATTAATAAATATATATAGATAGACTCGATCAGAAATGCCTTTAAATATAAAATTGCACCAATTTTAGAAAAGTTGGAGCATATAAATTTTATCTATTTACACATTAAAATATTCACATATTAAGTCTCAGAATTGTTTTCAAGTTTTCTTTTCGCGAGGTGTGAGTTTAGACCATTCTTTATTTCGCATGCGGCATTTTCCGTCTCGACGACAGCTATGTGTCGACTAGAATATTTATTGTTAATCGATTTCGCTATTAATTTTCAATTGAAAATTATTAACCATTGTACTATTATACACTCACCCGAAAAAAAAGCGGTACACTGAAAATGTGGGAAAAATTCATCAAATTTCAACTGACGATAACTTCGTAAATAATAAAGATAGAAAGTTCTATAAAATATGGAAATGAAGCTAAAAATCTCTACTTTAAGAATCAATTTATTTCAATGTTGCAAAATAAATTTATTGAAAATGGCGGATGACAAAGCGCGAGCATGCAAAATTGAAAAATAATGGTTCGAGTTTGCGACGGTGCACGGTATAAACAAAAAATTGTAGCTTATTGGGATCAAAAGCGTACGAAAGTACAGAGTCTCCTCTTTAAAATGCTTTTTTATGCATCTCGATACGATG